GGGGGGGGGACATGTGAAGACAAGGTCTTTTTATCGGACTTCTGCATTCTGTGTGTGGCGCAAAGATCTCGTTCTTCTAGCCGCGATCCATGCACGTCCACTCACGCACGTCCGCTGTGTAATCTCATCTGCATGCCCTCCTCGCCGTGCCGTGGCAACGGAAGAGCGGGGAAGGGGGATTCAGGCACCATCTACACCGTCCCAACGCATCTCGCAAACACCGTGCATCTCGCTTGCCGACCCAGCCAGATTCTTGCTCTTGTACAAAAGTAGAATGGCTCGGATCTGGTGCGCTACGGCTTGCGAACACCGCCGAGTGCATGGCGTGTACCGGCGTCCGAGCAGATCCGACGAGTGCTCGGACTCTACAGCTGAGCCGCACTTGCGCGGACGGGTCGAGCGCGCACCAGCCACCGAACACACTTTGTCTCACTTTCTTCCGTCCCTACCGCCGCTATGCCAGGACGAGCAGGTCTTCGAACGGGCTTCGATTGCGACAGGATGTTCTTGCGCGCAGCCAGAGGAAGGCAACGTGCTGCGGAAGCACATGAAAGCCGTAGCAACGCCGGTAGCCGAGTCTGAAAGCTGCCTCTTAGATCATCGCACTTTAGCAGGGGGGGAAGGGGGAATGGGAGGGGTGAGGGTCAAGGACCGTCGAGAAGTGCGAACGGAGCGGGGACACATGCGAGAACTGGCACGGACAGGTTTGACGTGAGATCGACAGGGATGGCGAAATCCCGTTGGCGTTGGCGCAACTTGGCAGCTGGCGGCGGAACCCTGCCTGCGGCCCCCGCGCGCGGCGACTTTTTGGGCTTCAGCACCCTGTAGGGCGCCACCGCACCCCGTCAATCACCACCACGCCAGCATCCGCCCGCTTTCGTTCTCGCAACAACGCAGCACCTCTCCGCCTTGACCATTTCACATTCACTATTGTCCTACCAGAAGCCACACTGTGCCCAAGAATGCGCATTCTACATCAGCTGGCTTACACAAGTCTCGGGGAAACACATTCTGCGCGCCACGCTACGCTTTGGCGGCTAGGCAGCTAGCTCTCGACAACGTTGCGGGAGATGAAGGAGATCGCATCACAAATGGCGAACGGGCCCAACAGCACGTCATGCCAGTGTGCCACCATCTGCAGCTCTCAAAGCCACTCACAGCGGCAAGTTTCCCCTCACATCACCGCCGATGGCAAGCCCACGTTTTTGCCGAAACATGCTCGAGAGCGGGCTAAAATTGCACGCCATCGCGTGTCCGCTTCGCGTCAAGTGGAAAGACTCACCTACGCACGGCTTGCAAGTCCTATAATATATGCAATCAAAGCCGAATTCGACATCGTCGGGGGTTTAGCTCAGTTGGTAGAGCGT